GCTTTTGTATAACATCTGCCCAACCACTTTGGATAATATTGATTACCACTGGAAAGCCATATATAGAACATAGATCTTTTTAACATTTACAGTGAATTCAGAAAGTATTCAGACCCCCTTCATTTTTGTCAATTTTGTTATGCTGCAACCTGATTCTACAGTTGAAAATTTTTTTTCCCTCATTAATCTACACTCATAATGATAAAGTGAAAACAGAATTTTAGAAATGTCTGTAAATTGATTAAAAAGAAAAAAACTGAAATATCACATTGGCATAAGTATTTAGACTCTTTGCGACAACACTTGAAATTTAGCTCCAGTGCCTCCCATTTCTCTTGATCATTGCTGACATGTCTCTACCTCTTGATTGGAGTCAACCTGTGATAAATTAAATTGATTGGACATGATTTGGAAAGGCATACACCTCTCTATAGAAGGGTTGATGGCTGACAATGCATACTGTGGCAGAGTAAAAGACATGTGGTCGAAATAACTGCCTGCAGAGCTCAGAGACAAGATTATTGCAAGGCACAGATCTGGGGAAGGATACAATAATTTTTTTTGCTGCACTGAAGGTTCCTGACAGCACAGTTGCCTCCATAAATTCTCAAATTGAAGAAATTTGGCACAACAAGGACTCTTCCATGAGCTGGTCGCCCTGTTAAACTGAGCAATTGGGGGGGAAAGGTTGCCTTAAGTAAGGGAGGTGACCAAGAACCTGATGGTCACTCTAAATTTCAGAGATCCTGCATAGAAATGGGACAGAGTTCCCGAAGGACAACCATCACTGCAGCCCTCTCCCGATTTGGACTTTATGGCAGAGTGGCTAGATGGAAACCTCTTTGCAGTGCAAAACACATGAAAAACCATTTGGAGTTTGTAAAAAAAATCAAAGGACTCCTCAGGCTGTGAGGAATAAGATTCTCTGATCTGATGAAACCAAGACTGAACTATTTGGCCTCAATTCTAAATGTGATGTCTGAAGAAAACCAGGCACTGCCCAATACTATCCCAACAGTGAAGTGTGGTGGTGGCATCGTGCTGTAGGGGTATTTTTCAGCAGTAGGAACTGGAAGACTGGTCAGTGCTGAGGAAAAGCTGAATGGAGTGAAGTACAAGGATACCCTCAATGAAAACCTGTTTCACAGGACACAGGACCTCCGACTGGGCTGAAGGTTCATTTTCCAACATGGCAACAATCCCAAGCATATAGCCAAGACAATACAAGAGTGAATGTTCAGGAGTGGCCCAGCCAGAGTCCTGATTTGAAATCTATTGAACATTTCTGGAGAGATCTGAAAATGGCTGTCCTCTGAAGGTTGCCATCCAACCTGACTGAGTTTGAGAGGATTTGCAAGGAAGAATAGCAGAAAACTCCCCAATTCAGGTGTGCAAAGGCTGTCACATCAATCCCAAAGACTAGAGGCTGTAATTGCTGCTTAAAGGTGCTTCAATGAACTACTGAGTGCCAGGGTTTGTTTTTAATAATTTTACAGACATTTCTAAAATCCTGTTTTCACTTTGTTATTATGAGATACTGAGTGTAGATGAATGAAAAAAATGAATTCTAATAATTGTAGAATCAGGTTGCAACATAACAAAATTGACAAAAGTGAAAGGTCTGAATACTTTCTGAATGCAATGTATATTTTATTGTGTTTACTAATGTATTTCACCTTATTAAAGGGGAAATGTACATATATGTTAGCCATCCATGTATGAAAAACCACACGCTAAATAAATACATTTATGGCCTAGGCATAAAAACAACCAGTACTGTTAAGCAAATTTTTGATTCTAGCAATTTTTTAATTATAACATAAAAAGGCCCAAAGTCTGCAATTCTAGGAAAAAGCCTGTTTGAAAGAGCACATTTGTGCAGTTGTAACACTGAAATATGCAAATATTGTGCTGAGATAATAGATGAAAAGGTGGCTGATGAAACCATATCAAAGTAAAGTGATTTTAAGTCCTTTTCCTAAAATTGATGTACTATATTTTTACAATGTAATAGAATGCTAGAAAAATAAGTAGTTATGTTATATAGGCAGATGAACAGATTAAAATCATTTAAGAAATGTAAATTCTTGAATGCCCCATCCTCATCCCTGGAAAATATACTATGAAATGCCTATGGTGATAGTTATATTCAAAAATTGTGTTTGGGGCCAGATCTGATAGGGCAAGCTACTGTATATGAACAGGGAGCAAACCCAACTTGCTATCACCAATGATTATCCAACTATGTTACATGATGATTATCCATGATTACATCCATGTAATGGTCTGCAAGCAAAAAATCAAGCTTGGACTCCACAGTTAACCCTGAGCTACATGTGTTTCTCTTTTATGAGAGGGCCACATCATAATTGTAACTTCAAATATCATAATTTAATATCATAATTTCAGCTGAGAACAAATATTAGAAGGATCTTTAGATCCTGATTTCCAATGATAGAACTCCAAATGTGCTGTTGTTATCATTATTGTTATTGGTATTTCCCATTTTTTTGGATTCTAACCAACAGTCTAGAACTCATGGACTTATTCCGGTAGAATAAAGGAAGTTTCAAACAAGATTTTTTTTTTTTGTAAGTCAGTGGTGTTCAGTAAATTTAAAACATTCAAATATTTGGTGAATTCTTTTGCTATGGATTCAAGGATGAAGAAGGAGGAGGAGATTCAGAAAGTATTCGACACCACATAGTTTAGAACTGTAAAATTCAAAAATTGAGAAGAATCACATTGCTAATACATGGATCTCTAAATTAGTCCTACTACCTATTGATTAAATAGGAATAATTGAAAGTCAGTCTTTTGCTGGCTTCTTTTTCAATACCAGAGCCTCCATCAAAGCTATTCCATCAAGAGCAGATAGCATGAGGTCTGTACTTAAGCCTTCAATTCCCATGAGGAAACTGTCATTTTGTTCATCAAGAAGTATTGATTCATATCATTATTACATGTCATCTCCAATCTAAGAATTTCTCTTCAGGTGCCATCAGTCAGAAATTTTCTGAGAGACATCCTTTTGTCAGTAGCTAAAATTTGCCAAGTGAAATATCCTAAATTGACATTTAATACTTAACTATGACATATAATAGTTGTAGATGTGTGTTTTTTGAGTTGAGGTATTGGCATGTCTACTTCTGGAGTACCAAGGCTGGTGACTAGAATGCCAACTTCTCGATTATTTCCAGTCAGTAGCTGGAAATATTTTTTTTACGTGTTTCTGAACACTGCAAACCTCTTTCCTACATTTTGGGATGGTAAAACTACTTTCTTTTTCTTCATAATTATTTCAGATTTAGATATGCCAAGAATATATTCTCAATTTATCTTTTTTCTATTAGGGGTTATTTTAGGCTTTTAATATGCTGGAATCTCTTAAAAAATTATATGTGGCAAATGATGAGAATCAATATTCTATTACAATTTTGACAGATGTATGAATCAATCCTAAAAGGTGGTTAAAGTATTAAAGTATTCAGAGAACTCATTTGTTCATCGAATGTTCATATCACATTTCTTCAAACCAATCTGCCTTCTAGTGACTGAACTTCTCAGCAAGGTCTATTCAAGCTGGAAATTACTGCAAGCACATATCCATACATCTGAAGGGCACCCGGGTTGTAGAAAATGTTCCAAAACCTGTCTTGTTTTGCTTGTTTATTTGTTACAGATATAACAATAGTTATATTCTTAAGGGACATATCCTTAAAAAAAGAAGTAAAAGTGAGTTGGTTGTATATTGGTTGTACAACCAAGAATTTCATTTGGAATACAATAAACCTATCAAAAATGTGTATAATTCTATATTCATTAATTTATTCATACATTAATTTAATACATTTATATAGTTGCACATCTATCCAAGAAATTCTGGGCACCAAACAAAGTTTTTTTAATTCAATTTACAAGCACAGGAAACTAAAACTCCCAATGTAAACATATCAACGACATCCATATTTATGCCAGAATTTTATCAAAATCCTGGCCCCCATGCCTGAGGAAAAAGCCAGATCCTCACAACTTTCTGGAAGGCCAACAGGGTTGGGATTGTCCATAGCTGGGGTGAGGATCTTCCACACAGAACATAGAATAATGAGGTTGGAAGATACCTTGGAGATCTTCTATTCCGACCCCTGCCCATGGCAGGAGATCCTGTACCATTAGGGTAAGGTTGTCAAGTATAAGGCTATCCTTATATACCCCTACCCTATTCTGTGGGGCCACCCTGGAAACAGCGAGGGACTGGCCTGCGATGCCTCTGCCAGAAAAAACAGAGCTTGGAAGGGCTGCACATGGCCCTCCCAGGCTCCGTGACAAGTGATGTTGAGCTGACCACGCCCCACCCCCCTTGGCCATGTTCCCCCAGAGCCTGAGGTCAGACACAACCCTGAAAAGGCCTTCAAATCAAGTTTGACACCCCTGCATTAGGGCCTTGATCCGATGGTTACCCGTGATCATAGAAAGAATAACAGAGTAACAAAACAGAGTAACTGAATTTGAAAGGATTCCAACAGTCCTCCAAAACTCACCCCTGTCCAAACAGGAGACCCTACACCATTTCAGACAAAAGGCATGACTCGTGACAGAGAAGGCATGCTTCCTAGGACCCACCGAATGACATTATTTCAACTGATGGGACTTGGAGCATGTTTACTCTGACAGATCTGATGGGCAGACACTGTCAGAGAAATAAGGTCTCACAAATACCGCATCCCTATCTATGCCACAGCTTTAAAGATGGCAACCAGCATAATCAACTTTCACCCAGTGTCCTGCTTGGGATAAGTGCAGTTCACATGGCAGTAGTGTTGAGTAGGTATACCTGGTATGCTTAGACCCATGCCACTGCATCTGGGCCAGCTGATGCTTTTATGGAATAAGATCATCCCTAATCAACATTGCATATTTCAAGGCAGTATTTAATTAAAATACATTTTTGATGTTACTGATACATTTCCTGTTTATTTTATTTTCTTAAATTCCTCTAGTGACCTATGGGATGACGAGTTCAAATGCCTACTACTATACCAAGGTGATGTCTGAACTCTTTCTGCAGACTCCTTCAGAAAGTGGTGTCTCCTTCCAGACCATTGGAAGTATGGCTGACTTTTGGCGAGTGAGTGCCAAGAAGTTTTGGATGCTGACTTTTTGTGTCAGATGATATAGCAATTTTAAATATGGCTCAGTGACTGAAAACCGCTAGGATTCTTTTGAACTGACTTTAATCTGCTTAACTGAATTGTACATATGTGGAAACATGTATATTCATTAAAGTACACAGTTCATTGTGTATAAGCGATCTCTTCACATTCTAAGACTAAATTATAATCAGTTTACTCATACCTCCCTGTGAGGCTGGGTTATTTATTTATTTAATGAAAATTTATATGGTTGTCCAACTCATTCTCTGTGACTTTGGGCAATAAAAACCCAATATAAAAATAATGAAAAACACCCCTAATAACAACAATCATACTATCATATTGATTTCAATGTCCTCTCAAAGATTCAGACCATATACACTTCTTCCTCCATTATGCAAAGAAAGAGCACTAACCAATTCCAATTCACAAACAAGAACTCTATTCCTATGCAGTTGAAATTCAATCATACTGAGCCAGTAATTGGAGATTGCCATCTCAGAAGCTCCTTGGGTCATAAATGGCAAAGTTGTCAGAACCATTTCCTTAACTTTTGACACAGGAAACACCATAAAAGTATCCCTACAAGAGACTTCAGATAGCATTTTTTTTAAATTCCAAGAAATAGCCACAATTGCTCATTCTTGCATTCATACTACTTCTTCCATTTTGACATACGCAAAAAGTAAACTACATTAACATCATTCTGTGTCATGTGGCTGTTTTTCTTGATCTGTGCCCTGTGGTTTTTTTTTTTCTTTATCTCCATAGTATACACAAGGACCTTTCCTGGATAGTTTGTATTGGACTAAATGGTATAACAATAAATCTTTGGGTCACAATGCACAATCATATATCTATTATGAGAACTTACTGCTTGGTGTCCCACGGCTACGCCAACTCAAGGTCCAGAACAACTCATGTGTGGTGCATGATGATTTTAAAGAAGATATTGCTGGTTGTTATGATGTATACAGTGAGGAGAAAGAGAACACATTACCCTTTGGACTCTTGAACGGGACAGCGTAAGTAGAGAATAACCTTTTTGAATTTCATAAATTATAGCTCTGAAGTACACCTCAATTTCAGAAAATAAGATGGCAGTCAGTTTGTTGTATAGATTCAGAGGCACAATATCATTTGGTCTCATTTTTTTTTGTCTCATTTATTTTAAAATCATGGATCATATAGTCATTAAAAGAGCTTGGAAACTTTCAAAACACCTGATAACAGAAAAAGAAAATTGCAGAAAGCATAAAATCCATCAGAATGAAAACCTCTGTTAAATACCAGAAGTAAGGCAACATTAAATTAATAGGACTGTCAGAAGTGAGAAATGTTTTCTGTTTTGAGCTTGTGCGAAAGAACCCTGCTCAAATACTTCATTAGAACATTTAAAAACTCAAAATCATTATTCTACATTCCACTGGAAGAAAATTTAAAATAAACCATAAAGCACATGGACAAGTAAAAAAGCCCTTTGCTCCCTTCGTTTTTGCACCCCATGATACAAATATAACATGCTGACTGCTATATGCTTTGCAATCAGCAAAATTATTGGTCAAAGAATTTTTTTAAAAAAATCCTCATTGGAAAAATATATAATGGTACGTGGGAAAGATCTTGGGATATAGGGAGCAGAGATGTTGCCAAGAGATGGTCAGATAAGACAGAGTACAGCCCACAGCTGGATAGTGGACAGGACAAGAGGCTCAGAATGGACCATCCCTGATTTCTTGCATTGTTAAGGCAAGAGGGGAAAGATGTACTTCCACACTTGCAAAATACTATTAAGGTAGCCTTACAATAAAATAAGAGCTAGTGCAGTGATGGCTAACCTTTCCGTCCTCACATGCCAAAAATGTGTGAGCGTGCACACTTGCTAACACCCATAAGGCTATGCATGCGGGGGGCCACGCCCCCTGTGCATGCACTCACTACACACACACCCGTGCACACCGTGCATCTCTGTGCACAACTCCCACGCACGCCTCACGTCTTTCTGTGCGGCAGCTACACAAAGACCAGCTGGCGGGTGGGCGGTGGGCACATAGAGCTGCTCTGTGGTGACAGCTCACGTGCCGGTGAAGATGGCTCTGCGTGCCACTTCTGGCACACATGACATAGGTTCGTCATCACGGAGCTAGTGCTTCTGGGTGTGTTTCTTGTCTGGATCGCCTTGCAAGGTTGTCAATGAATCAAGTGGACCTGTGAATTTAGATTCCTGCCTTGAGAAGGGGGCTGGATTCCAGATCAAATTCCTTCCTCTTTGCAGCTCTTTTTACTTTTGAGTCCTAATATTCATAGCATTCATGTCATCAAAATAAATAGCCAAGAGAGAAGAGTTAAACCCTGTACTTCATATAGTATTTTAAGAATGCTGCTGATAGATTACTGGTTAATTTCCCCCAAAACGATATCATTCTCTATATCCATGAGACAGTTGAGCCAACTTAAGACATTGTACATTTTCCTTTCACCAATTCTCTCTCTCGTTTTCCTCCATAATTTTTGTGGCACAGGTGGCAATATTACACAGAGCAAGAACTTGATGGCTCTTCCCATTGGGGCAGATTAACAAGTTACAGTGGAGGAGGCTATTATGTAGACCTCAAAATAACCCGGGAAGAAAGTGCCGAAACTCTGCAAGAGTTGAAACAAAATCTATGGCTGGATCGAGGAACTCGTGTTGTTTTTATGGACTTCTCCGTGTATAATGCCAACATCAACCTGTTCTGTGTGCTCAGGTAAGTGGCATTTGAACATAGAAGTTCTGGCTCATTCTTCTGAAATTATATTTTGAGCTTTTCCTTGTCTTTAATTTTTTTTTCTACGATTTTACAATATGAAACCATTTTCACTTAGAAAACCAACTTTGAAATATTCCTGTATGATGCGTAACATTTCTTACTCAGAAGCAGGAGAAAAATTAGTGGTAAATAATAAACAGACAATATTTACATGGAAACAAGCCTAACTGACTATACCATTCTTTTGATCAAAAAAGATGGAGATCTTATTTCATTATGGCAGGTTTTTTTTTTTCAACTTTGGGAACCTTAAGATGTATGGACTTGGGAATCTTGGTGTTGACGTCCACACATCTTAAAGTTCCCAAGGTTGAGGAAAAACTGTAGTATGAAGGCCAAACTAACTGGGGAGAACCAGCTCCAATCAAATGTTCCCTCCTTCTCCCTCCTTATGTCCCATTCATACCTTCAAATGCTGATATGGTCCTAAACCTGTAGTGCTGATGATGACATAGAAATGGAAAAAAAAAGAGTTATAAGCCTACATAAACGGCAGAGCGTTGGAAACAGAGTGGAATGGTGACACAAAACACTGTAAAAATGAAATGGGGGAATTAGTGAGCGGATTCCTTGGCTGGTAGAAGTACAACATGGCTGAACATCTTGATATAACAGTAATCCTACCAAATTAGTACGTTTCAAAAATGGTTTTTCCTCATTTTGTTTTCTTCGCTTTTCTGCAAAAGTGAATCACCAGTATTATTGCAATTCCCCAGGGACTGTGGAAGAAATAAAAAGTCAGTTTTCAAGTAGATTAATCTTTTTATTTTAAATGTTTTTATATATCTAGTACAGTGATGGCTAACCTTTTTGTCATCATGTGCCTGCACCCATAATACAACGCACGCAGGACCCCCCCCTGTGCTCCCATGCCCCCTGTGCATGCACACACATCTCCCGCATGCGCCCCGTCCCCCACGCATGCGCGGCAGGTACTTAAAAATCAGCTGGTTGATGAGAGGCACGTGCACACGCTCAGTGGAACTGAGCTGGGGCGACAGCTCCCATGCCTGCAGAGATGGCTCGACGTGCCACTTCCAGCATGCATGCTATAGGTTTGCCATCACGGATCTTGTTGTTGATTTTCCAAGAGGAATATGCATACAAAAATAATATTAGCCCTTACTACCAGGAATGTTTATACACCATCCTCTCTGCTGCCTAGGTTGGTAGTGGAATTCCCTGCCACCGGGGGTGCCATTCCCTCATGGCAGATCCGGACCGTGAAACTCCTCCGGTATGTCAGCACTTGGGATTTCTTCATTGTCTCTTGTGAAATTGTCTTCTGCATCTTTATCTTCTATTATATTGTGGAAGAAATCTTGGAACTGCGCATCCACAGGCTTCAGTACTTCACCAGCATCTGGAACATTTTGGATATTGTGGTCATTTTGGTGAGATTTCTTCTAATAGGATATTATATAGAAACGTATTAAAGCAATGCAATAATTGATACGCTTACAATGGGAGATTAGACTTGAAAGTGTTTATTGGTTGAGGTGGATAGTTAATTAGCCATTTACTTAGTTGCTTATGTGTTATAAAATTATAGTGAGAATTATTTACAAGGGCCAAGTAAGGAAATCACAGTAGAAAATGGGAATGAGAGTAGACTTTTGCCCCCTTTGTCCATTGGAATCCCTTGGCAGAGATTTGGCAAAGGGGGTGCGGGGAGGAGAGGAGAGGAGAAGGGAACGCTTTTGCACCCTCTGCCCTTTCTATTGAATCACACATTTTTCTCAGCTTTCTGTTTTAGCCATTGGATTCCACATTTTTCGTACCATTGAAGTCAACAGGTTGATGGGGCAGCTGCTAAGAAATCCCAACATCTACGCGGATTTTGAATTCCTGGCTTTTTGGCAAACCCAGTACAACAACATGAATGCTGTGAACTTGTTCTTTGCCTGGATCAAGGTACTTTTCATCCTTTGTCTCTCATCCCAATTTGAAAAAGTAAGAATTTGCTACACCAGTAGGGTGATAAGGTGGCCATAGAGGGATGGTGCTGGTACTTGTTTATTGTTTTGATTTATACTCTGCTATTTTGTCCAGAGAGCACTCAGGTGGCCAACAGTCTAAAATAAAAATAACCAACTATTAAAACCAAATGAGAACAGTTAACATCATTAAGTCACACATTCTGTCTGAAGAGAAAGATCTCTTCTTTGAAAGTGCCAGAGCCAAATGCAATTCCGGATGGAAAATATTTCATAGCTGGGGAGTAATTCAACAGATATCCTTGGGAAAGTATTTCCACTCATTTCCCCGTTTTGAATTGCCAAGCAACAGTAATGCCAATTTACTCTATATATGCCTTATCACATTGCATGCAGAGTACTGAATTTTTAAAGCCCAGATAGAGATTGCCTAGCTTTGGTTTTCATCATCTATTCTAACCCAAACCTAAGAAGTTGGTGTGTTATGATCCTTCACCTTATCTTCTCCCATCCAGATATTCAAATATATTAGCTTTAACAAAACAATGACCCAGCTGTCTTCCACTCTTGCTCGATGTGCCAAGGACATCCTGGGTTTTGCCATCATGTTCTTCATTGTCTTTTTTGCCTATGCTCAACTGGGCTATCTCCTTTTCGGAACCCAAGTAGAAAACTTCAGCACCTTTGTTAAATGCATGTGAGTATCTCCCATTTTATCCTTTCCTTTTTTACTTCTCCTTCATCGCAAGGATCTCAGTCAGGTGTTTATTATCCAGAAGACCTGCTTAACTTTAATCTGAACTGATTATTCCCTATGAGAAGTCAAGTTATCCTGGCTAGCTCTATTTTTTTTTCTTTGAAATATGTTTTCTTTTTAACTCTAAATTGCCCAGAATAGCTGGGCTGTCAAGTAGCATTGAAAGTGAAATAATAAATGCCTTTAAGCCTCAGAGAGGTTTCATGTAGCCATATCTTTCTTGAAACCCTCTAAACCCCAAACTCCACAGATAATAAAAAATATTGCTCTTGCCTGTTCAAGCAGCACCACAAAGCCTTCAGTCCTATTTGTCTGGCCTCAGACAGGACAAAAAGACCAAAAGAAAATCATTTTGCTCCCCTGACCAAAAGTAAAAGATATAGTAATGATCTGATCATATAAAATACATAATCCTTAATTTTTCCTGGCCTCAGACTCTTCTTCTTAAACTGATTCTCCAATGGATCCACAACTACTTCAGTTTAGATGTTGTTAGATTGGTAATATATACTGTATTCTATGAACCCAATTAGAAGTCTAGTTGCAGGATTTGTGGGAATGGAAAACCTGCTGATTCAGGTGAGTTTTTAGAGCCATTAGATGATTTTATTTATTTTATTTATTTTGATTTGTCAACACTTACAAGATAATAGGTATAAGTACATACATAGTTATGAATACATGAAATGGGTACATATAAGAAAAATAAAAGAAACAATAGGACAGCAAATGTTTTGTATGCTCTAATTAGTAGTGTGATATTACCAGAGAAAAAGCTACGTAGGATTAGGTTAACAACTCTTAATGCCTTTTTGGCTATGTAGTTACAGTGGGCTCTAGCACTTAGATCATTAGAGATGAGTATTCCAAGGTCCTTTACAGAGCTTGGATCATCAGCAAGGTCTTGACTATTCAGCTTGTATTTTATTTTCTGATTTTTTTTGCCAATATGTAAGACAGAGCATTTATTTGTTGAGATTTGAAGTTGCCATTTGTTTGAACATTCTGACACATAGTCAAGATCTCTTTGAAAGGGTAGCAATATTGTCTGTGGTATTGAACAGCTTTACATCATCAGCGAAGAGAATGCAGTTGCTCTTAATGTGATTAAAGAGGTCATTTATGTAGAGTAGGAAGAGAGTTGGTCCTAGAACACTGCCTTGGGGGACACCACTATTGACAGGTACATAATTTGATAGGACACTCCCAATTTTGACCATTTGTTTTCTGTTTGACAGGAATGCTTCTATCCAGTTGTCCAGAGATAACATAAGATTTTAGTTTTAGGAGTAGTTTGTCATGTACCACTAAATCAAAGGCTTTACAGAAGTCTATGTAGATTGCGTCTATTGTTTTGCCCAGATCGAGTTGTGCAGTCCATATGTTTTTGCAGTGTAAGAGTTGCAGATTACCGGATAGTTTTTTTTTCTGAAACCAAATTGTTTAAGTAGGTTATTTGTCTCTAAGTGGAGGATAATGGATTGGTTAATAATTGATTCCATGATTCAGAGGACTCTAATTCCCTTTCCCTGTTCCACTGATGAGCCCATTTCCATTTTCTTACTTCTTCCTCCACCTTTGCCATGCCATCTGGTCTTTCAGAGGAGAATGTATCATGGAGCTGGCAGCCATAGTTCACCTGTCCTTCTACTTCTTCCTACAAAAGGAGCTGTGAAATGTGGCCAGTTCTTAATTTTGGAAGTTAATATATATATTACAATTAAATAGTTAGTAATATTCATTCTAAGATCTCATTTCCTATCAGCCACATGATCCATAGTGGGGTCATTCATAGTCTCAGAAAGAATTCTAGAGACACCATTTTTTGCATGTGTTTCCTTCAGTGTTTAATGGGTCTGTTAGTAACAGATGGAGATCTAACTCAACTATTTAGTTCTGTATTTCAAAAAGAAGAGGGACAAATATTTTTGATTATCTAAATCCTTCCATCTCAGCAAAGCTCTTTTCCTGAAAATCATATTGCAAACTCATTCCTTTTTCCACTCTATAGCTTCACACAATTTCGCATCATTCTTGGTGATTTTGACTATAATGCTATCGACAATGCCAACAGAATCTTAGGACCCATCTATTTCGTCACTTATGTCTTCTTCGTCTTCTTTGTCCTGTTGGTAAGTTGATTTTGTCTTAATGGATTTAAAGGAAGGTAGATTTTGGATGAAGAGCAGGAAAAAAAAAACCTAATGGTAAAAGCTGTTTTAGGGTGAAACAGCTACTGAGGGAAATATGGATCCCTCTTAGTGTGTTCAGCAATGACAGTAAGCATAGGACTTAGATGTTTTGATGACCCTCTTCAATTGTATGATCCTTTGATAAACATTTATCCCTCTGAAACATATAATTCTAACAAAAAAAATCCTAGTTTTTCATATAAAATATTTTCCCTGGTTTTCAAAAAGTGAAATAATAAAACAGAGGGGCGGGGGGAAGTAGCTTTGTTTTGGAATTCCCATCAATTACTGAAGTATTAGTTTCAATTCTTCAAATCACATAAAAGCCACAAGTACAGAGCTAATCCTTCCCCACTTCTGCACATAAAGCACCATTCAGAAGAGTGGATTCTTGATTTCAAGATAATCTGCATTATATTTTTTCTTTTCTACAGAACATGTTTCTGGCTATCATTAATGACACCTACTCAGAAGTAAAAGAGGAACTTTCAAACCAGAAGAATGAACTGCAGCTATCAGACATCCTGAAACAGGTAGCTCATTCATTTATACCTTTATTTCATCCATTATTAATGAAGTTATTTTGAATGGATGCTGCTAGGGAGCATGTCAGCATTCCAAGTAACAACCTCCAGATTAAAAGACTCCAAGATTGTCATCTTCTCAAAAATCAATTTTATTAGAGATGTCATATTGGCATATCTGAGGAAAACCCAAATCTGAGATTTCCGGGTTTTCCCTAACCCAAAGAAAATCCAAAATCCAGCCCCTGCACCCAATAGTTCTTCACATGGTCCAATCATTACTTCATTCCAACTGGAAACTATCCCCAGGAACTCCCCTCCAGGTGCAGAGTAACATGTCCTTGACTTTCTGAGAAAGGAATGTTGTTGTGGCTGATCTTCCACCGTTCTTTAAAATATGCCTCCTAAATTCCCAGGCACTGAATGTGGCAGCCCAGAAGCTTCAAAGAAAAATGGCTTTGAAGCTGACAGAGCACTTTGGCACCCCAAAAAATGCTTTGTGAGTTTCCATTTCTATGGCAACTGTATGGTTCAACCCTCAGGGGCTTCTTTGGTGTTTCGTCTGCAGCCATAGTGAAACCCAGGGACACCAGTCATTCTAGTGGCCCATATCAATACAGAGGTAACCCACAGGCTGTCCTTAACGTACGATCACAATTCAAACTAGAATTTCCATTGCTAAGCAAGGTGGCTGTTATATGAGTTGTGCCAGATTTTACAACCATTTTGCCATGGTTGATAACTTAATCACTGCCATTATGTGAATCACATTCATTAAGCGACTCTAGCTTCTCCCACTGACTTTGTTTATTGGAAGCTAGCTGACAAGGTCACAAATGGCGATTACATCCATGGGAGCAACCATAGTAAATACGTGCTGGTATCCAACCAGCCAAATTCTGAACATGTGACCATGAGGATCCTGTGATGTTATAGGTTTGATTGTAAGTCACTTTTTCCCATACCATTGTAACTCTGAATGGTTTACTAAACAAAAGATTGTTAGTAAAGAATTATCTGTACTTTATACAAACATAGTTCTATAAAAGTGACCATAGTATCAGTTTCTTTCCAATGTTTATGACTATGCTTTATTCAAGTAATTTCAGAAAAATTCCAAGGGAAAGTGAAAGCCATAGAACGTAACTTGTGAATTAAGTATCCAGCTGGGGTTTCTGTCATTGTGAGGCCTGTCCCAGTAGTTGTTAGTCTTGTCTCTTGTAATGGCCACAGTATAAAACAATGAAGGTAACTTTCTTTTGCATTATTTGTAACTCTAGGGCTATAATCGGACACTGATGAAGCTGAAGCTGAAAAAAGACCGAATTTCTGATGTGCAGAAAGCTTTGCAGAAAGGAACCAAAGAGCTGGAATATGAAGACTTTAAGAACAGTTTGAGAGAGTAAGCATCTTTCCAGTGACATTCACAAATATCTCTCCTTTGACCGCCATACCAGTCAAGCAGTGTGCTTCAGTATCAACCTTACTCTTTATGTATTAAGTACTATTTTCAGATTTTGTGTTCACCCGTCTCTCTGTTCCCCATCCTTACCCCCAACTTCTTCAGGCTGGGTCACGCAGAACATGAAATCACAGAAGCCTTTGCAAAATTTGATAAAGATGGCAACCAGATCCTTGATGAGGAAGAGCAAAAGAGAATGCGGAATGATCTGGAGGAGAAGAAAGTAAGAGGAGAAAATGATCTGTGGTGGAATATAATGAGGAGGTGGATCACCAGGAGGGAGCGGGTGCCTTTCAGGAGAGTAAGAGGAAACGCGGCCCAGGGTGTATGTGGGAGAAAGAGGATGAAGGCAACTCCTCCCAAATAGTTCACAGAGTATATTGTAGATCCAGATAAATAGAGCCCTCAGTCTGGCAAGTTTTTTTCTACAAGTGTGGAACAATAAGGAACTCAGATTGGAAGACCCCGTCATGTCATTCTTAGTTTTGAGCCTGACATCTGGTTGGTATGCACATTTAATGTATTGACCTGATATTCAATGGTCTGAATTAAGAAATACTTTTATGGGTGGAACCAGTGGTGCTATTCTACCGGTTTGGCCCAGTTCTGGTATACCGGTAGTGCCAAAGATCAGCGGAGACTGAACCGGTTCTCTCTGATGAGCTGCTGTTGGGCCGACCCGCCCACCCGGGCTGCCACACTGACCTTTATCCCCTGCTTTTGAAACGCCGCTGCTTTGCGTGGCACAACAGATTGCCATGCATCAGCTGTTGAAGCTACAGGGAGAGTGCAGGATTGCAGAAGGTGAGTAGGACGGCCTCTGCGCATGCGCAAAGTGCGTGTTTGGTGCACGTGCAAAGCTTGCCCACCAAGCCACACCCGCCGAACTAGTGGTAAACTACTTTGAAACCCACCACTGGGTGGGATTCATCAGTGGTGGGATTCAAAAACGTTTACTACCGGTTCTGTGGGTGTGGCTTGGTGGGCATGGCCATGTGACTGGGTGAGTGTGGCTTTTTTTTGCAGCCGCCACCCATTTTGGGGAGCTTCCTAGCCTCAGAGAAGCCTCTGGGGGGCGTTTTTGCTCCCCTAAGGCTCCTCTGGGGCTCTGGAAGGCAAAAAAGGGAGGGGGGAGGGCTGAGCTCCTCCCTCCATTTTTTGCCTTCCTGGGCCTTAGCAAGGGGAATCCCGGCACAGCTGATCTTATCTACAGCTGATTATTGGCAGGGAAAAAAGGAAATACCTTAGGCGGATGTCAGGCAGGTGGGCGGGATGAGCGAGCATTGGGAGAGAGGGCGACCGGGTGGGGCCGTGGCCAGCCAGAACTTACTGCCAGTTCGGCGACCCACGCCAAATTTTTGCTACCGGTTTGCCTGATCCAGTGCTAACCGGCTGAATACCACCACTGGGACTCACGCCATATAATGATTTCTCTATCTTGGCTCTTCGCATTTAGTAAGAAAAGGGAGACGGCTGAGTATAATTCATTTTTAAGTTAATTCTTTCTGAAGCAATATGCAAACAAATATGCAATTATTCTTCACCTCTATTACACTTTTCTCCCCGATAACAAAAATAGAAATAAGAGAAACTATATAGAGAAAATGCGTATGTTAGTATTACATGCAAAAATGCATTTTACTGTGGAGTTTTTGATGCTCGTATTAGGAATATGATCTGATCAATGTAGATGAAAATGCATATGGATTTGTGACAACTATGGGCAGTTTTATTGTACAATAAATAAGTTACAGGATCTGGAGCAGTTATCAAGAAGACCCGATTACAGAAAGGAGTTTCAGGATCAAATAGAAAGTTGCTATGGCATAAATTTGTTAGCTGCACAGAGAATTAAAATGAGGCTCATATGTCAATAATTAATCCAGTGGAAGAAAATACACAAATCCATGTCTGCAAGATTTTAAATTACTACAGTGAAACCTCATTATGGTTAAATAACTGATTAAATTTTATTCCTCAGGTTGCTCTGAATGAAGAAATCGAAAATTTGGGGAAATCCTTCAGGGACAATACTTTAGACAATACTCTTGGTTTTGCAGAGGCAAAGAATAATCAAGCAAACAAAACCGGCAGAATTTCTGAGGAAGAATTCCAAATGTGTGTAGTATTTCATTTGATTTGACCATCAAATATATATCAAAATATACAGGTAAAATACATGGACACGAAAGGGAAAGAAAATGTTAAAATTCACTAACAAACACACACAAATGTCTGCACAAGAGACCAATAACCTGTTAATATTGATTAATAAACATGAAACCTGTTTCATTGGCAGAGCACAATAAAGCAAGGCGGTAGGTTTTAACTTTCCAGCTGAGTAAGTAAGTTGTTTATGAAATGTTAAGCGTGAGATTATGACAATATCAAAAATGAGAACCAATTTGTCAAACCTTCAGTGTTCTACTCCTCCCAATCTACTGCCTACAAAAGGCAACGAAGTATACATACCGTGTTTCTCATATAATAAGGCCAGGTCTTATTTTTTTTTGAGCCCCGAAAAAATGGCTAGGTCGTCTTTTCGGGGGTGACTTAATTCCCCCCCCTTGCATCTTTGGGCGGGCGGGCAGCGACGGCTTGGATGTTGACCTCGACGTTGGTGGGGCACTTCGTATCGGGGTCAACGCAGGCAGCACCATATCCAGGTGTGCAACAAAAGTACTTGCTAACGGCAAGCCCCTCCCCACCATTCCCCACCATTCCCCATGTTTTAATATAGGCCTTAATTTGGGGGGAGGGGCTTAATTTCATTTCATGCCTATAAAACATGCTGGGACTTCCTATTGGGGGAGGCCGTATTGTTGGAGAAACGGGGTAGTAAATTGGGGGTTTACAGTACTGCCTTCTCTTTTATTCTCCCTGCTCTTTGTCCAGGAACTACTAATTTCAGGATCTTCCATGCCTTTGTTCCAGGCACACAGGGCATAGCTCTTCCTCCCTGATGCAGTGTATTGCTTTGTATTCCCTGAAATGGAGCTTCTTCTCTCTTGTCGTTTAAAATTGTAAACCACTTCCATTAATTCTTGCTAAGATTATATTCCTACTCTCAGGAACACTTGTGACCAGGAGAAACACTGCATATTCCAATAGATGCTGTGCATGCATCAGAACTAGATGAAACTACCTGCAGGGAATGGCCTTGACTGTTGCTATACTCTATACTAGATACTATTTTAAAAGTGGGTTTTCAAAGCCTGCCTCTCTCCCTCTCTCCCCCTCAACAGACTCCTGCGGCGAGTACTAAAGTTGGAGAATTCTGTTGGTGGCATCATATCCAAGACAGAAGCCTTGGTAATTAAATTGGAAGACCTTGAAAGGAGCAAAATGAAGAAAAAAGACTCGGTACCTGAGGTATGTCAGCAGACTATTAGCAATGGCTTGGGGATGGTCTACAAGCAGGAGTTTCGTCACCAGTAATTTAGAGAAATGTTTCTCAACCATGGCACTTCAAGATGTGTGAATTTCTGTCCCAGAATACCCCATGTTGGCTAGGAAATTTGAGGAGTTGGTCTACAATTTAAAGTGGCCAAGGTTAAGAAACACTGTTAAAAGCAGCTTTTAGCATCCGGCAGCCCTTATGGAGGCAACATAAAACCGATTCCTATCACTATTAAATCAGCACATTGGTTGAATAATATTAGAAATGCTCTAAATATGGCATTTATACTTAGAAAAAATAAATGACATGAAATGAAATCTGAAAGAAATTCATAAGGATAAAATATTGTTGCATATAACTATGCTTTACAAAAAAAATTCAAGAACTTAAACCAAGAAAAACAAAAATTCATGTTCTAAAAGTATCTAAAATCAATGTATGTACATTTATTTTAAAAAGACAATTCAATTTCCATATTTTTCACATGAATGTGAAAGATGTGCATTAAGTGGTACTATTTGTACAGTAAAAATTAAATGACCAAAAGTAAGGGCAAAAGTAAGTTTTTGAAAAATAAATAAATCTAGTGGACGGCTTTTTGAAACAACTGTCCTTAATAACAAAGGTTATAAAACACTAATGAGGAAACAGACATAGTTGTTTCTACATGTTGTATTCCACATTGGGCACCAAAATTAATTTATTTCTGTGCATTATCAATAATGCATACCCTTCAGTCTAGACAGTGCTCAGTGTACAATCCACACGTACCATCCAACCAATGTAGAAAGAAGTGGACTTCCATTCTATTTAAATCTACTTGTAAAATGATAAGCACAGGGGGGTCTTCAGGGAAGGGTAAAAAAATAAATAAAAAGGGCAGCCGTGACGACACGATGAGAATCCCATCCCTTTTCTACATATACAGCTCATAAAATAGAGACATTGTGAGATTATAGTTTTCATCTTGGCTTTTTTGATTCCTGAATTTGTTTGTTTTTACAAATTTATATAGCTGCCCATCTCACACAAAGTGAATAGTCGTATAATAACCTAGATATAACCTAGTTGTATACATGATTTCAAGCTGGCAATACTAAACTTTCAAAAGATTATGTACATTTAACTTAAATGTTCAGAGCTTGCCAGATCTGATAGTCTCGTGGCAGTCAAATGATTCAGCAGTGATAAAGGAGATGGCAACTGCCTTGAAAAAATCTAAAATTTTGCTTTATCAGTTCACTACTTCATTCACAAGTATCTGCCAGATTAAAAGATCAAGAATAAAGGCCTATATTATTTAATTAATAATTTTCCCTATCTGCAAGATTGGTGTCAGATGGTGCAATGACGGTGCATGATGCGTCTTATTTACCATCACACCAATCTTGCAGGTAGGGAAATTATTAATTAAATAATATAAGGCCTTTATAGGCTTCCCAACTCAATTAATGTGCAACACAAATAATATTGTCAAAAAAACCAAAACCATGATAGTTTAGAAAAAAACAATATATAAAATGGTGAACCAAATGGGATAATTAAAAACCAAAATGGTACTCCTCTCACCCAGACCCAAAGGTCTAGGGAAAAGCCTGCAAGAAATACTTTTCTATATTTTCACGACATGCCTTTGTATGAATTCATTTTTGACAACCGGATGTATTTCATCTCACATCTATAATTCCCAGACCAATAAAGGAATCTGTACTGAGATTCAGGTATCAGAAATTATTTAACACCTTTCTGCTGTTTGTTGGCACTCCGTTAAATTCAAGACACTACACTCAATGTACCCAAGCTAACAAAGCAATGGAAATAGCTGATTATCACCCTAGATAAAGGAAAAATCCTTGCTTTTGGGAGAATGGCTTAGTCTTTCCTTCACCAGTATCTTTTCCCTCTCCTTGCTTGCAGGGAGAACAGCTGATTCAAGAAAATCTGGCTCCACGGACGGCTGAACGTGTTCTTGCAGAAGAGAGTGGATTGGAAGCAGCCCATGTGCAAGAGAATTATATCAGTGTGAATTCTCTGAATAGGAGTCAGGGGGTCTACCCCCTTCTGTCCAGATTAGACCTATTAAACTCTCAAACTCCCAAGACCATCCAGTTCAAATCTAACAGGAACTTCTAGCTTATTCCTAAATAGATGTGGCATTAATTATCCTTGCTTTTTCACTATACTTAGACTAGTAAAGCATTTAGTTATGTCTTCATCCTGCCTGTAAGAAAAGGAGCTTTTGGGGTAGGGACCCCATTTATGTCAGAACTGAGTGGGCAAGCAGTTCTTTTAACCTCTTTCTAAACTCTACTAGTCTATAGTTGGGTGATTGATGCAGAAGGGACAAAATATGAAGGCCTTGGCAGATTTATCTAGAGTATTTGGCCGTATATGACCAAATGAAATTAAAAAGGAAACATTCTCTGGGTTTTAAAATGTGGGTTCATTTGGTTTTAAATCACCAACTGGATTCAAATTTTGCACTAGATTTTAAAACTTTTACAGTAATCTCTGTATTTGGCGTTGTCAGAATATGCAGAAGGAATTTTTCTGCGCAGGTTTGTAGGAAAACCAAGTCCATATTAGAAATTGTAATTAGTTGGTATATTGTTAAAATAATAGAGCAAGGATTCAAATATTCAAGTGATAATTCTGAAAGCTGGCTAAAGATCTGTATAATGATTAGCATATTAAATGGTCTGATTTAAATATAATTTTCTGATAATGTAGTCAGTAGATTATGATCATGGTAAAATGTCAACGTTCCTATAATAAATATGAGGATTGATATGTATCATAGACGCTAAAAATAAAAAAAAAATCAGTCAGTAGATAAGGATATGTACAACCATTAACAAAATATGTTGCCTTCTGAGGCTCCTGCCAGATATTCAGATGACAAAGTACATGCAGCTATTATTTTCACACATGCACACAGGATTGCAATCCACTGCCTTAGATGCATCCTTGACTATTAAATGTCTTCTCCTTGTCCAGTTATCTTATAAATGTCCTGAAATAGAAGTGCAAGTATTTTTTAATGTTCGGGCAATGCATCTATCCATTATATGCTAAGCATTGTTAATCTTTAACCTGCCGTCTTTAGCAGAGTTCAGAAGCAAAGTGAGGCTAGACTAAGTTAATACTTGGTTAACCTGGAATTCTAGAGTGTGGGCTAGACTAGGAAATTGAAAAAGCACCCAAGAAAAAACACTTTCACGTACTGTATAGATTTGCTATTTGTCCTGACCCAGTGAAGCCCCATTTAGTCCTGCTTGGATAGATCCTCTGTCATTTATGTAAACTGATATGACAAACCCAAAGGCATTTAGTAAAGAAACTAGATTCAATAGTGCCACATTAGTCCATCTCTGCTATACTCTAGTTGTTCTTGTGATGCATCAAGACAATCTCCTCAAGCCAGCGAAGCAGTAATTCCTAAGAACTTTTTCCTGTGTGACTCTTGTTGGTTGATACAATCATCTGCATTTTCATTGTGACTTCTTGCATTAGTGCAGCAATATTGTGCTTCTACTGATAATGTATCATGCAACTTGAAAAAATGGCAACATTTTTCAGGGAAGAACGTTGTTTTGTACTTTTTCTCCTCGCACAAAGAAAGAAAACTCAAAAGATCTAGGTGTTAATAAAGGTCACTATTTTGGCGGGAGGATGAATGCACTATGGTTTTCAGACAAACACTCGTCCATCACTTCCATCTCCTTGTGTGAGAAACTTTCTTGTTCATCGACAGTGAGAGAGACAGCTACTTCAGAATAGGTTTACCGTACATACTGTACTTTTTGCTTTATTAAATAAATAAGGTGACAATGATGTCAATCTAACAAATGTCAGTCATCTTTCAGTATTATAGAAGTGTTAGCAAACCACATGATCTGAATTAACAATTAGCGATCTGAATTAACAATTAGCAATCTGTATCCTTGTGAAGTATGAATGAATTCTTGATTCTTTGACAAATTGGAAATACAGTACTTGCTATTAGAACAAAGTATTTATACTTGAGAGGAGTTGTACAGTCGTGTTGACAATTTATATATTTTAACCAAAATACAGGCATAGTAAAAGGCTAGATTATGTAAGGTAATGTTTAACATCTAATCAACCATAGTTCAAGTGAGGGGGCATAAGCTGTGGGTTGAAGGATGGAAGAAAGGCAACATTATGAGGACGTGTCCTAGACCTAGAAGAATAATTATCACTGCATCTTTACCATGGATTCTTAATGTTATAGGTTGTCCAGAGTCACTCTGTTTAATAAATAATAGATAAATAAATCTTCAAGCTGATTAAGATGACATGGGGACAACTGTTTGGGTGTTTTAATTTTACCTACACTAAGCAATTATATTGGAAGAAACAGTTAAGGCAAATAAAACTTCCAAGTACAGAAGGGAGTCTTTGCTGGTCTGTGAACCTAATAAAGACTGACTGATTGATACAGAAGTAGTTCTATTTAAATTGAGAAAAATTAAAATAAATTATTGATAAAGTAAACACAATTTAGAATTTGGATCCAAAATACATTTACATTCTTAATTATGGCTGGCTGGTACAGAAATAAGTGGCTGGAGTATTTGTTATGGAGAATCCTGTGTAGGCCAAAGAAATATTGTTAAATCTACAATTTCACAATTAAGGTTTTAATCTATTAAAATGTGTTTCTTCCTCTCAAAATATCAAAATGATAGGCTTTCCTAACTGAATAATTCTTGTATATTTAAAATTGCAAGTTCCATTACACTAGCTTCCATAAGAGCTCCTTAACTTTTAGAGAGGAGAAAATAGGTTTCCAGTTTAAAAAAACAAACAAACATTGACTCCCACTTTTTAAAGCAGTCAGCACTTGTCTTCATTTAGAGGACTCTCCATTTTTTTAAACATTCTCTTATATAAGGGAAACTGCCATAAAGCTATTTATAAATACCTGTATTAAAAACCCAGATCAGGAAAAAAGTTATAATTTTTAGCCCAATGAGGCTTCTATAGACAAAGCTGGTCTATCAATGCTTATTCTAAATCTAAGTTTTGCTTTCTGGTTCGTCTGCATAAGCCTGCAGAAGAATGCTGGTGCCCAGGGTTGCAGTAGAGGAGGGAGTGGCAGTCAGTAGGCTGGAGCCTTAGTGACCTGGAAGCAGATAGCAGGACTGCAACTGAAGTCTCTGGTGTAGAAACCCAGGATTGGGCCTAAAGAAGAGCTTGGCAAGTCTGGAACTTTGCAAGAGAAATATTACAAACACTGGATTTCTGTAAGACAAGAAAAACTGAATTACAGTAGAATCTCTGGTCACAACCATAATTTGTTCCATAACTTTGGTTGCAACCCGATTTAGTGATGACCCAAACCTGATTTTGGAAATTTGGCACTTACAAAAAAAATGGCGTGGAAGGGGAAATTGGCCGTGGGGGGAAAATTGTGAAGTTTTTGGTCGGAACACGATTTGGTCATGGTCAGAAGTGTTCATGACCAGAGGTTCTGCTGTATCATAAAAAATAGCTTACTAGGTTTTATGGTTGTCAGAGACTTCTATAGCAAATTGTAATGATACCAAAATTATAACCATCATGCAATTATGTCATTGTACCCATCTCACTTTTATGGAGTTGTATGGTACATTAGCACATTATTTGCATGGTAATGCTGTTATAGTCATTTCATCATTTCCCTCTTGCCTTCAGTTGCAATTAATAGATAATCCTCAAGAGAAATGGCTCTGCCACTTTCCTGAAAAGCCAACAACGAGGCCTCTAAAAAAAGCTGAGTTGAAGTAAAAGAACACTGAGCTAAAAACAGGAAGAGCTGGGTTCTAGGCTTCCTCAGCCACAGAAGTTCCATGGGGGATTTGGGGTCATCCTTTCCTTCTTGACCCAACCTATTTCAAGGAAGTGTG